ATTAAATCTAATGTGAATGAAGAGAGGGGAATAATAATGACTCGTTTTGTGCAAGGGTTGAATCCTGACATTAGAGATGTGGTGGATTTGCACCGCTGTGTGGAGATGGAGGAAGTGGTACATTTAGCTACCAAGGTAGAAGCACAACTTAAAAGAAAGGGAGTGAAGAAGAGTTCTTCCAATTTTAATTCTTCAAGTTGGAAGGAAAATAGCAAGAAGGAGGGGGATTCTTCTAACCATTATATTGCAGGAATTCAAAAGACATATTCAAAGGCTAACGAGAGCTCAAAAAAAAGTAGAAGTTGTGAGATAAAATGTTTCAAGTGCTTGGGAAGAGGCCACATAGCTTCAAAATGTCTTACTAAGAAGACAATGTTCCTTAAGGAAAATGGAGTCTACACGAGTGAATCCTCCAATTCTGAATCATCAAGTAAAGAAGAGAGTGAGAATGAGGAAGAAATTATTCCAAAGGGAGACTTATTTATTGTTAGGAGGATGCTTGGAGGAATTGCAAAGGAAGATGAGGGGAGTAAAAGAGAAAACATATTCCATTCTAGGTGTTTCATTCAAGGAAATGTGTATTCATTGATCATAGATGGAGGGAGCTGCACCAATGTGGTTGGCACCAGATTGGTGACAAAAATGAACTTGGAGACTAATGGTCATCGTAGGCCATATAAACTACAATGGTTAAGTGAGGAAGGAGAGTTGAAAGTGGACAAGTAGGTTGAGATTGAATTCTCCATTGGAAAATATAAAGATAAGGTCCTTTTTGATGTAGTTCCTATGGACGCTAATCATATGTTGCTTGGAAGACCATGACAATTTGACAAAAAAACACAACATGATGGTCACACTAAGAAATACACATTTTTTCATGAAGACCGGAAAGTCACTCTTGTTCCTTTGTCACCTAGAGAGGTTTGTGCTGATCAAAATAAAATGAGAGAAAAAAGAGAGCAAGAAAGAAAAGAAACTACTAAGACAAGTGAGAGAGAAAAAAAATCAAAAAGAGATAAAAAAGAGAGTAAAAAGAGTGGAGAAAGAAATAAGAGAAAACAAGCCCTCTTTGTAAAAAGTGGAGAAGTAAGGAGAACATTTTTGGTAAGAAGATTCATGTATATTCTTTATAACAAGGAAATTGCTGCATTGAGTACTGACATTCAACTTCCAAGTGAAGTTAAATCTATTTTGTAGGCGTTTTCAGATGTTTTTCCTAAAGAGATACTAGCAGGACTTCCACCATTAAGAGGAACTGAACACCAAATTGATTTTGTTTCAGGAGCTGCGTTGCCTAATAGACCAGCATATAGAAGTAATCCCCAAGAAACCCAAGAAATCCAAAAGAAAGTCACTGAGTTGATGAATAAAGGTTGGGTAGAAGAGAGCTTGAGTCCTTGTGTTGTTCCAGTAATTCTAGTTCCTAAAAAGGATGAAAGTTGGAGAATGTGCTCAGATTGCAGAGCTGTGAATAACATGACCATCAAGTACAGACATCCGATTCTCAGGTTAGATGATCTTCTTGATGAATTGTATGGATCCTGCTACTTCTCTATGATAGATTTGAAAAGCGGATATAATCAAATTAGGATTAGGGAAGGTGATGAATGGAAAATAGCTTTTAAAGCAAAGTATGGATTGTATGAGTGGAAAGTAATGCCATTTGGGTTGACAAATGCCCCTAGTACTTTCATGAGGTTAATGAATAATGTGCTGAGAGATTTCTTAGGGAAATTTGTGGTTGTTTACTTTGATGACATTCTTGTATATAGAAAAAAGTTGGATGAGCATTTGCATCATTTAAAATCTGTGTTGTATGTACTTAGAAAAGAAAGATTGTATGCTAATTTGGAAAAATGCTCATTTTGCAAAGATCATGTTGTATTCTTGGGATTTGTGGTTAATTCTTGTGGAGTGCATATAGATAAAGATAAAATAAAAGCAATTCATGAATGGCCAACTCCTACAAATGTAAGTGAAGTGAGAAGTTTTCATGGGTTAGCAAGTTTATATAGGAGGTTTGTCAAAGATTTTAGTACCCTAGCTACACCTCTTAATGAGTTAGTGAAGAAAAACGTTGTTTTTGAGTGGGGAGAGAAATAAGAAAAAGCTTTTGCTATCTTGAAAGAATGACTAACCAACACTCCTATTCTAGCTTTGCCTAACTTTGCTAAATCTTTTGAGTTTGAGTGTGATGCATCTGAGATAGGCATAGAGGCTGTGTTGATGCAAGATGGACATCCAATTGCATATTTTAGTGAGAAACTAAATGGGGCTGCTTTGAACTATCCATCATATGACAAGGAATTGTATGCATTAGTTAGAGCATTGTAAGTATGGCAACATTATCTTCTGCCTAAAGAATTTGTCATTCATAGTGATCATGAATCTTTAAAGTATTTGAAAGGGCAGGGGAAGTTGAACAAGAGACATGCCAAGTGGATGGAGTTCCTTGAACAATTTCCATATGTAATCAAGCATAAAAGAGGTAAGTCCAATGTAATTGTTGATGCTTTGTCACGCAGATATGTTTTACTACTATCTACTCTTGAGACTAAGTTTCTTGGTTTTGAATTCATTAAAGAATTGTATGAGCATGATGCTGACTTTTCTCATATCTATCACTCATGTTCTCATACTGCATCAGAAAGGTATTTTAAACATGATGGATATTTGATGAAGGACAAAAGACTTTGTGTTCCTAAGAGTTCAATTAGGGAAGTTCTTGTTAATGAGGCACATGAAGGGGGGTTGATGAGACACTTTGGGGTGCAAAAGACATATGACATCTTGCATGAGCATTTTTATTGGCCTCATATGAAACATGATGTGCATACATTTTGTGAGAAGTGTATTGTTTGCAAGAAAGTTAAATCTAAGGTCATGCCACATGGTTTGTATACTCCATTGCTTGTTCCAGAACATCCTTGAATTGACATTTCTATGGACTTTGTTTTAGGTTTACCTCGATCCAAAGGAGGAAGGGATTCAATTTGTGTGGTGGTTGATAGGTTTTCTAAAATGACTCATTTCATACCTTGCAGGAAAGTAGATGACGCTTGTCATGTTGCTAACCTGTTCTTCAAGGAGGTGGTAAGATTACATGGGTTGCCTAGAAGTATTGTAAGTAATCGAGATTCTAAATTTCTTAGTCACTTTTGGCGAACTTTGTGGAGTAAGATTGATACTAAATTGTTATTTTCAACAACTTTTCATCCCCAAACTGATGGACAAACTAAAGCGGTAAATAGAACTCTTTCTACTCTTCTTAGAGCTATCATTAAGAAAAATCTTAGACTTGGAAGGAGTGTTTACCACATGTTGAATTTGCCTACAATAGGGTTGTGCATGGTACAACTCAACTATCACCATTTGAAATAGTTTACGGTTTTAATCCTTTAACTCCTTTAGATTTGTTGCCTTTACCTAACAATTCTGATTTTAAAGATAAGTCTGGGAAAATTAAAGCTGAATATGTCAAGAAGTTGCATGATAAAGTCAAGGCTCAAATTGAGAAGAAAGTTGAAGGATTTGCAAAATATGCAAACAAAAGAAGGAAAAAGGTAACATTAGAACCAGGTGATTGGGTGTGGGTGCATTTCAGGAAGGAGCGGTTTCCTTCACAAAGGAAGTTAAAACTTATGCCAAGAGGGGATGGTCCATTTCAAGTATTGGCCAAGATAAATGATAATGCCTACAAAATTGATTTTCCTAGTGAGTATAATATAAGTAATTCTTTTAATGTGGTTGATCTATCTCATTTCAATGTAGGTGAAAATTTACTTGATTTGGGCACAAATGCTTCTCAAGAAGGAGGGAATGATGCAAACATCAAGGTCCAGACCCATGATAAAACTGAAGCCTAAGATCCAATGGAAGGTTTAGGAGGATCCTTGACAAGAGAAAGAGTTAAAAGGACCCATGAAGCCTTGGAGCAAATGGTGATTAATCTGATGGAAGCTAAATTGCGTGATGCAGCCCAATCCATGGAGGCCCAGATGGGAAAGAAAATGATGGTCTGCATTGCTAGTCTAGACTAAAAATGGTTATAATGATTTATTGTATTAAAAGATATAAAATAATAACATAAGCCTAATTTGAACCTTAGACCTCAAGCTTAACTATACCTCATGTATCCACTGAGACAAGTTACATATACTTGAAATATTAGGAATTTAGTTTTCTTTTATGTGCTTTCAGAGGTGAAAGAACTATTAAGTATACCTCATGTATCCATTGAGGCAAGTTACATATACTTGAAATACTAAGAATTTAGTTTTCTTTTATGTGTTTTCAGAGGTGAAAGAACTAGTAGTATTTATAATTTTGAAATTGAATGAAAAGGGTAAAATGTTATTTTAGAATTTTGAAACTGTGAGATAAACTCTCTACTAGGATTCTTCCTTGAACCATGAATCTTAATTATCAAGAATTGTTCTAGTTCTTGTAACGATCAAACCGATTTATCAAACTTTCAATTTGTGGCACCTATGTTATTATCGTTTTATCTTTCTTTTTGTAAGTTTTTTTTTTCCAAAGTCGAATTTAAATCATTTTGCTGTTTGGTCTTGTTTTGGTTCTAATTAGATCAGGATTGTATCTTACGAAATCCTAGGACATTTTTTATGTTTAATATAAAAAAATCATAATTCAAAATGTCACTGTCTCTTATTTTAACAATACTTACTTTTTTATCCTAAATAGATTATTTACCAATTCAATTAGGGAAAATCACGTCATGACCTTGTGTGGAAACACACTTAATGAAAGAGTGTATACTCCAAGAGGAAAGAAAATATGATATTTATGCACGTGGCACACGACCTTCGGTAATTTCATGGAAGCATCTTGGTCCAATCCATTCACTATTTTCGACCTGCTTGACTTAGACTTATCATTGACTTACTACTTCAAACCAACACCAGTCACAAATTTCCAGGATACTTCCCCACCATCATAAAAGAAACAGAGAATGGTTTACCAAGCCAGTAAACACATCCATGGATCCCTGTAACGTTTTCTTCCTCTTTATCCTTGTTAGCTTCCTCAGTTTTGCAACTACTCAGGCAGAGTCCGACTCTAATGTCTATCTATACCATAATTGCTCCGGGGGAAACACTACAAATGGCAGCACCTTCCAATCAAATCTCAAGACCCTCCTCTCCTCCTTATCAGATAACGCCCCCGGCAACAACGGATTCTACAACAACACAGTCCCTGGACAAAACCCCTCAGACTCGGTCTTTGGACTTTTCATGTGCAGGGCCGACGTCTCTTCTCAGATTTGTCAACAATGTGTCCAAGGGGCAACCCAGCTACTATCGTCAGAGTGCTCCTTGGCCCAGCAAGCGGTCATTTGGTACGATGAGTGCACTGTTCGTTACTCCAACCGCTCGTTCTTCTCCACTTTCTCCACCAGACCCAGAGTTGGCCTGTTGAACACTGCTAATATCTCAAACCAAGAAAGCTTCATGACTTTATTGTTTCAGACCATGAACAAAACTGCAGATACTGCTGCTGCTGCTGTTGGTAACAAGTTTGCAAAAGGGCAAGCAAATATTTCTGGTTTTCAGAGCCTTTATTGTCTGGCCCAGTGCACTCCGGACCTGTCACCTAATGATTGTAGAACCTGTCTCAGTGGAGTGATAGGGGACCTTCCATGGTGCTGCCAAGGGAAGCAAGGAGGGAGAGTTCTTTATCCCAGTTGTAATGTTAGGTATGAACTGTACCCTTTCTATTCCCTCACACGAGATTCTGCAGATTCAGAGTTTTCAGAAGATCCAAATTATCTAAACCACAATTGCTCAACTAATGGAACTGGTGACAGCGTTTTCAAAACACATCTCAGCACCCTCCTCTCTTACATGTCTTCTAATGCCACCAATCACATGGATTATATGGATGGTGTTGAGGACAATGTGTATGGCCTCTTCATGTGCCGAGGTGACCTTCCCTCTCGGCTCTGTCAACAGTGCGTTCTCAACGCAACCCACCGAATATCCTCAGAGTGCAATTCCTTTCAAGAGGCTATAATTTGGTACAACCACTGTATGCTTCGCTATTCCTATCGTCATTTCTTCTCCCAAGTGGAAAAAAGTCCAACTATTCAAATCCTGAATCTTATCATGAACAATTCCCACAGCGATGTTCGCGAGCAAGACTCCTTCACTTATACATTAACAAAAACGTTATCTGATCTTACTGAGTTGGCACAACATAATAATTCCAGATATGTGACTAAATCTTCAAAAGTGAGTGATATCGATTCACAAGTCGTTTATACTCTTGCTCAATGCACGCAGGATTTGTCTAGAAATGATTGCTTCGTTTGTCTTGAAGATATGACTAAAAATATGCCATGGTCTCGCCTGGGAAGCACACGACAGGGAAGAATTCTATATCCGAGTTGCAATCTCAGATATGATTCTTTCCAATTTTACATACATGATTATCAATGGCCACGTTCGGGTAATTCTTCTCCACCAGACTTTGAAGGTAAATTCCACTTGTCATTATTTGTTTTTTTACAATGTTTTATAACTTAAGTGAATAATCATTACAGTACATGAAATCCTAAAAAGTTAATAATTCATGCTAGGAGAAAGGTAGGTTGAATGAAGATGAACATTTAATTTAGTAATTAAAACTGTCTATATTAATTTAATGATTTAAATATGTTTTTTTATGTATATTTTATTTTTATTTAAAAATATTTGATTTTTTGTTTTTAAATAATTTGTTATACATTGACTTTTACTATTTTATAGTCTTTTTCTCATGTCCCTAAGATCTATAAATCAATTTGTTATCTCACTTCACATTCCTATTTTACCAGTTATAACTATTAAATTCTAAAATTGATGTTATAATTTATTTTAATTTTTTATATTAGTTATTAAATCTATGCAAATGTCACTAATATATAAAATAGCGAGAACTTTTATATCGGTTGCCATGTGATATTTATCAAAAAATAAATAATTTAATATGTTAGAATCAATATACTATATCCATTTTTTTTATAATCGATATTATATGCAATATTTTAAAAAGTAAAATATTTTTAATTTGTATTCCATTTCTAAATGTAAAAAATTTCACATATAATTATTCTAAAATATTCTTTGTTTTTTATACTTTATCAACACAAGAAAATAATATCAATATTAATATATAACATTAACTATAATTTTTTTTATCAATCTTTACAAAAAATTTATCATCAGTAAAAAGAATTATAAGCAATAAATTTACCATAACGATATTAAGATAGAAACGTGAGATTACATAAGTTGAACCACGGGACAGGTACAAAATAAGCTCTCTCACAAATTTAACTTGTGAGTAGAATCCGTACAAAAATGTGCCCAAGAGAAAGAAAAGTTATGAATATAAAGGGATATTCAAGAAAATAAAATGTAACAGAAAAACTAAACCGTTCTCATAGAAGAAGATATGTCTAACATATCTCTATTACCCCTCTCAAGTTGAGCCTAAGGATTAATAAGACCAAGCTTAAAAATCACGGTTAGAGAGAAAAAAACGTGTAAGAATGTGGTGAAGACATCTGCCAATAGATGAGCAGAAGGAATCTATAGAAGATGAATGAGGCTACCACAAACTTTTGCTGATGACAATCATTTTCCACATGTATATGGAAGGTAGGATTTTTGGCAATTTGAACTACAAAAAAGAAACTAGAGCCACTCTAATTCACACGTTAAGGTAGTGAACACACGATATTGATATTCTGCTTCATATGAAGATCTAGCAATAGTGGTCTGTTTCTTAGACTTCCAAGCAATCAAGGATGTATCTATGAATATGCAAATACCAGAAATAGATCAACATGTAGTAACATAGGTAGCCCAATCGAAATATGAGAAAGCTTGTACTTTAAGATTAGTGTGGGATGAATAGAATAAACCATAGCCAGGAGTAGTTTTCAAGTATTGTAAAATACGAAAAGTTTGTTGCATATGTGGTTCTAAAGGCGAGACAACAAATTGGTTTAGTTGTTGCACAACAAAGCAGATATCAGGCCTAGTATGTGTAAGATAGAGCATTCTGCCAACGAGATGTCTATAAGGAGAAGGATCAACCAGCAAAGGTCCTTCATCAGCATGTAACTTGATTGAAGGATCAAAAGATGTGGAAACAGATTTACAACCAAGAAGACTTGCCTCTGTTAAAAGATCAAGACAATATTTCCTTTGATTTAGGACAAGACCAAAGACGATCTAATGACCTCAAAGTCCAAGAAGTATCATGGGGACCAAGATCCTTGATACGGAATCTGTTATGAAAATGAGTTTTAACCGACTGTATCTCAAAGATGTTGTTACCAGTCACATCATCAATGTAAACAAGAAGGATAGTAGTGGTGGAATCAGAAACTTTGACAAAAAGAAAATAATCTGCAATACTTTGTGAGTATCCTAAGTTTAACAGCTCAGTGGTTAAACGTTGATTCCAATTTTTGCTAGCTTGCTTAAGACCATAAATGGAATTTGTTATGAAGATGAGTTTTAATTGATTGTATCTCAAAGATGTTGTTACCAATCACATCATCAATGTAAACAAGAAGGATAATAGTGGTGGAATCAGAAACTTTGACAAATAGAGAATAATCTGCAATACTTTGTGAGTATCCTAAGTTTAACAGCTCAGTGGTTAAACGTTGATTTCAATTTATGCTAGCTTGCTTAAGACCATAAATGGACTTATGAAGCTTGCAAACATACTTAGAATGAGGAAGATCAAGAGCAAGTGGTGATTTATGTAGATTTCTTCATGAAAGTCACCATATAAGAAAGCATTGTCTATGCGAACTATGTAAACACCATATAACCTAGTGATTGACAACAGTAATAACAAGAACTATGTGAATAGTGGGAATATTTCAAAATAGTCAATACCTTCAGTTTGTGTAAATCCTTTGGCAATGAGCCGAACTTTAAACCTTTCTACCGAGTCATCAACTTTGTGTTTAACCCTATAAACTCATCTACAGTCAATGGTCTTCTTGCTAGGAGGAAGAACCATCAATGTCCAAGTTTGATTTTGATGAAGAGCATTTAATTCAGCAATCATTGCCTCTTTCCAATAATCACTTTGAACAACTTCTTTGTATGAGGATGGAGTATCTTGGAAAAATATATTGTGACAAAAAGAAATGTGATCAGGAGAGCAATTGTTATAAGAAATGAAATGATGAATAGGATATATAGTAGAGAAAGAGAATTTATAATTTGAATTGGAAGCAGAACCACACTAATAATTGTCAAGATATTTAGGTATGGTTTTAGGATGAGTGGATGATCTTATAATAGGAGTTGTAGTTTGATATATATTAGAAATAATAGTAGGAATCACATTTTGTTGTTCTAGATTTGTGATAGGTGAAATTGGAAAAGAAAAATCAAAATTTTCATGAGTAGAAATCAGTGAAACACTACAAGAAATTTCTTATTTACCGATGGATATAGAGCCTTCAGAAAATAAGTGATTATCGACAAAAATTACAGACGGATTTAGAGTAGTTGTAGAATTTGGTCTTATCAACGAATATATCCGTCGATAAATGAACAATTAATTACCAATGGATATATTCGTCGATAAATCTGTCGATAAATGAATAATTAATTACCGACTGATATATTCGTCGGTAAATAACAAATAATTACCGATGAATATATTCATCAGTAAATTCGTCAATAAATGAACAAATAATTACCGACGGATTTATCTATCGGTAAATTAATAATTTTAGTAAATGAACAATTAGTTACTGACGGATATATCCGATCGAGTAATTATTTATTCATTTACCGACTAATTTAAAGTATATTTTCAAAAATCAACATTAAATTAAAAAAATTAAATATTTAAAATTATATAATAATAATTACTTAATTTTAAATATATTTTAATAAACACGACACACACTTTCACCGTCAAGTGCGTCCTCACATCAAACATATAAATATATAACTATATAAATTTATCAAAATATAAAAATATATAAATATATCAAAATATAAAAATATATAAATATATTAAAATATACAAATATATAAATATATTTGTATTTATATTTTTTATATTTATATATTTACACGAGATATACATTTATTTACATATAAATATAATTTATTTGTAAATTATTATTAGAAAATCTTAGTAGCTTAGTGGTTGGAGTATCAGTCTCTAACTTTAAAGTATCGATTCTAAAAATTGTAATAAATAATAAAATTATAAATAAATAAAAATATGTCTTCCTTGTCAACGGAAAAAACTATTTCTTGAAAAATGTCATGTCGAGAAACAACAATGAATTAACAAAACACATTTTATACTTCTGGAATCCAATTTAGTTCGTTCAACACGAAGAGAGTTAACATATATGATAAACATCCAAAAACCTTAAGGTTTGATAGAATAAACAAGTTCATATGGTGATTTATTAGACAAAAAAGGTGTGGGAAGGCGATTAATCACATGCGGTGCAAGTCTTAGAGAGTTTGACCAAAAAATGTTAGGCAAGTTTGAATGAAAAAGAAAAGATCTACAAACATTTAGAAGGTGTTGTCTTTCAACAACATTGTTTTGTTGAGGAGAGGCTACACATGTAGTTTCATGAAATATGCCTTTGGAATTGTAAAATTCATTGAGAATAAATTATTTTCCATTGTCTGATATAACCCTCTTAACTTTACAAGAAAATTGATTTTCAATGAGAGTGATGAAATTTTGAAAAGCAATGCGAACAATGGATTTATATTTAAGTAAAAGAATCCATGTGAAGCAACTATAGTCATCAACGATGGTTAAAAAATACTTATAACCATCAAGAGAAGTAATGGAAAGAGGTCCTCATATGTCAATGAGAATAAATTCAAAAAAATGATTGGATTTAGTTATGCTAGCAGTGTATAGTAAACACTTTTGTTTGGCATAAGCACATGTATCACAAGCAGTAATATAAGATGAATTGATTTCAGAATATTGAGAAGCAAGAAGTTGTAAAATTTTATTTGAAGGATGACCAAGTTTCATGTGCTACAAAGTACAAGAATCGGTATGATTATTAAAAACAAAACAAGATGAAAAATGTGTTGAATCTGATACATTCATACTACTAACTGTTACTGAGATAAAAAAGACCATGATGTAGTTTAGCTACTCCAATCATCCGTAAGGTGCTAGTATGAAAAATTGGGCATTGTTTTTGTTGAAAAATGACAAGATAATTGGTAGAAGCAATGCGTTTAGGGATAGATAACAAAGAAACAGTAAAATCAGGAACATACAATGTATGTTGAATAATAATATCACTGATAATTATAATTCTTGAAAGACAAGCGGTGACAGATTGGTTATTGGATAAACATATGAATATAGGGGAAATAGTTTTTAGATCTTGAAAGAAATCTTTGAAAGGACAAATGTGATCAATGACTCCATTATCTAGAATCCAAGAGGAGGAAGGTAAAGAATGACCTGAATTATTAACAGTACATTGATGAATAACAATGATATTGAAAGTTGTCTCTTGTGAGGGCTAGATTAAGGCAAGAAGAGCTGTAATTTGCTCCTTAGAAAAACCAAGCTAGACATTATTATACTCATTTGCTAAGGTAGAAGAATCCATAACAATAGTGGGAGCAGAATCAGCCACGCTAGCAGAAGGTTTAGGAAGATTGGATTTGCTCTTGTTGGGATTATAACCTTGTGGTAGACCATGTTTGATCCAACGATTTTTTGAATTATGATTATTGCGCTGACAATGATCATAATACTTGGTATTGCGACCACCATTCTTGCTGGATCTTCCTCGACCACGAAAATTTGAAGAACCACCTCGAACAACTTTGTTAGAAGTATCTTGAAAACTGATGTTGGCAACTCAATCGTGAGAGGCAAGGATTGATGGTCCAAATTCATGTTCTAGCTGAAGAACCAGAGAAAAAGCCTTAATCAAGGAGGGCATGAGCTCCATAAACATGATTTGAGATCTGACTTGTGAGAATTCTTCATTGAGATCCGGAGGAATTTGATAACACAGTCATCATCACGCTCCTTTTGAATCTTGGTGATGAGACCACATTTACCGGGAGAGGCGCAAGAACAAACAATAATAATTTTGTATAGAGGTAATTCTTTCTAGAATATTTGAAGCCTAGTATAATATTGTGAAATGGTAGAGTCACCTTGCCTGCAATTATGGAGATTTTCTTGAAGATCTGCTATACAAAATTTGTCTCCATGAAAAAAACATTGATGAAGATCGTTCCAAATATTAGTAGCAGAATCCATCTACATGATGGATTGTTTGATGTCAGGAGACATGAAACGCGTGAGCCAAACAATCACCATCTTGTTGCAACACTTTCACATGTCATGTAGCAGATTGGTGGATGGTGGGCAAGGAAGAGAAGAGTACCGAGAACAAATTTCTGTTTATTCTTGGTTTCAAGTGCGATGAACATGTCTTTTTTCCACTGTCGTAATTATTATAAGTTAGGGTTTGAGAAACAGGAAGAAGAGTGAGATTCTCCCCAGGATGAAGAAATAATGGATTGGTCGGGTTGGTGAACTAATCTGATACAGGAGTGACCATATGAAAGCAGCGAAATAATGATTTGAAACTGATACCATGTAAGTTGAATAACGATACAATTACAAAATAAGCTCTTTGAAAAACTTAACTTCTGAGTAGAACCAGTAAAAAACGTGAGTAAGACAAAGAAAAGTTATGAATATAAAGGGATATTCAAGAAAACAAAATATAACAGAAAAACTAGAAAGAAGAAATTTCTATAAGGATGCACTAATTAGAACCTAACACCTTAGAGTTGAAGACTAATACTCTAATCATTAACCTATTAAGATTTTCTGATTAAAACTTACAAATAAAATATATTTATATACAAATAAATATATATCCGTGTAAATATATAAATATAAAATATATAAATACAAATATATTTATATATTTTGATATATTTATATAATTATATATTTATATGTTGGATGTGAGGGCAGCACTTCGAGATGAAAGTGAGATTGACTCTCACTTAAGCGAATTTGTCGCTTGAGCGAATGACATGTTTTATAAATTTATTTTATATCATTATATAAATAAATTATAAAGATTATATTTTGTCATTAAATTACAAACTCATATAAAAAGATCCACTCACAAATTTGGCCTCAAATTTTGAAAATACACTCGACATACACTTTCACCTTCGAGCGTGCTTTCATATCCAACATATAAATATATAACTATATAAATATATCAAAATATATAAATATATTTGTATTTATATATTTTATATTTATATATTTACATGAATATATATTTATTTGTATATAAATATAATTTATTTGTAAGTTATTATTATTAGAAAACTTTAATAGTTTAGTGGTTGGAGTATCAACTTTCAATTCTAAAGTATTGAGATTGAATCTTGTAAGTAACAATTTTCTTAAAAATTTAATTTGGTAATAATTCAAACTTTTAAAAAATATAATATAAAAGGGAGGGAGATCTTTAGATAAATATCGAATGTAAAATAGTAATATAATAAAAAAATTTTAGATCGATTATTAATATATTCATCTCACGTCTATCGTCAATTCTTTTAAAAACTCTTTTATAAACTGATATAATATCTAATATTTCATGTTAATTCCAAAAAGAATCTATGTTATAATTAAAACCTAGTTATAACAACTATTTCTTACAATTTGATAATTCATAATTTCTTTCTTTTTATTTATTTATTTAAAAGTAACCTAGAAACTTTGAATGTACAAAATTAGATTTCCAAAAGCAACCACACAGATAAAAACCATTTTCATAGGAGGATATAATAAGTCGATGTGGAAGTTGAAATATATCGAAGCTCCTGGGTCAATGATGAATGAAAGTTGTAATTTGTGATTTTGATATTCTAGTTAAAGCGTAGACTTTTAGCATATTCGTTGTGGGTAACATCTATTGATTGTTTTGCAGAAAAAAGAAATGAACACATGGGAACAATAACAACAACAATCTTCGTTATTGTATCCACGGTTGTTTCGATGATACTCTTCTTATTTTGCTACTACTTGATAAAGAGAAAAACAAGAAAAAGTATTAGGACTATTCTTCAAGAAAATTGTACGTATGGTTAAAGAACAACGTGTTACACTTATATGCCTTAATAGCATCTTAGTTAATTTTACAAATTCAATCTTATATATTTGATTCAGTTGGCCACGAAAGTGTCACTTTAGAGCCATTACGATTCAGCTTGGCAGCAATTAAAGCAGCAACCAACAACTTTTCAAATGAAAATAGGATTGGAAAAGGAGGATTTGGGGAAGTTTACAAGGTGAGGAAATATGGCATATAAACTGTTTGTGTCATTGTTTCATCTAAATAATGGTTTAATTTTTAGGGTATGCTTTTTGATGGGAGGCAAATAGCAATAAAGAAACTCTCAAAAAGCTCAAAGCAAGGTGCAGATGAATTCAAGAATGAAGTTTTATTGATAGCCAAACTTCAACACAGAAATCTTGTGACATTCATTGGCTTTTGTCTTGAAGACCAAAACAAAATACTTATTTATGAATATGTGCCCAACAAGAGTCTTGATTATTTTCTATTCGGTTTGACTCTTACCCCCCCTTAAACTCCATAATTATTTGTGCAAATTGTGTGCGAATTTTTATTGAGTTCAACTAATAAATTGCAAAAAAATATTTTACACTTAGTTCTCACTTGAATTGAATTAATGTGTAGATTCTCAACAAGCAAATTTGTTAAGATGGTCTCAACGTTATGGCATTATTGGAGGAATTGCTCGAGGAATTCTTTATTTACATGAATATTCTCGACTCAAAGTCATACATCGTGATCTTAAACCTAGTAATGTTTTATTGGATGAAAACATGATTCCAAAAATTTCAGATTTTGGCCTGGCTAGAATTATTGAAATACATCAAGACCAAGGAAGTACAAACAGAATCGTCGGAACATAGTATGTTTGAAAGAATTTTTTTTTCCCTAAAAGTATGTTTTGGCTAAATTAATTATTATTTTTTTCTCTTCTACAGTGGTTACATGTCTCCAGAATATGCAATGTTTGGACATTTTTCAGAAAAATCAGATGTTTTCAGTTTTGGAGTGATGGTTTTAGAGATTATTACAGGGAAAAGGAATGCAAGTTCTTATGATCAAGCACGTGGTGTTGCTGACGGCCTCTTGAATTATGTGAGTATAATGATTTAACAATTTTATTTTATGAAATTATTAAGCGTCAACAAATATATAAGTTTGTACTAGTTCTAGTTTTTTGTCTAAATTATCAATTTAGACTATTATAGTATATATTATTTAATTTCATTTATTGTAATAGATATCTTGTATAGAAATTTTTACATTATTTATCTCAATTTTTGGAATCAAAACTAAAGTACGAACGTTACTACATTTTTTTATAATTGACATCTTCGATGATAATAGTTTGGATTTTTAATTTGGTACAGGTTTGGAGACAATGGAGGGATCAAACAATGTGCATTTTAGATCCAAGTATTAAAGAAAATTATTTTGAAGAAGAAGTTCTTAAATGCACCCAAATTGGTTTATTATGTGTTCAACAAAATCCTGATGCGAGACCAACAATGGTAGAAGTTGTTTCGTATCTAAGCAATCACTTAATTGAATTGCCAAATCCAGAGGAACCTGCATTTCTCTTGCATGGTGGAAAGGATTCAAAATCATTTGCTCAAGAATCAAGTTCTAGATCCTCTGGTTGCACTCCCTTCTCTATTAATGAAATGCCGACAAGTCAATTTCTTCCTCGATAATAAATTATTTTCCTAACTTCTAAGTCTTTATAGAATTAGTATTTAGTAATCATAGAATGTAACTGATATGATTTGTAGTTAAAAATTACAATATCATTTTCTCCAATATTTTTTTATTTTAGTTTAGTTTAACATATTTTTTTGAGAATTTTTTTAAAATTGGATTTTTTTTTCAAATTAACGTGTTTGTGTGTGTTTTTTTTCAAGTTTTTTAATAGGTCGGAATATTCTCTAGTTTTAAAATATTTACAATAAAAAATATGATTATGAGTGAAAATTGCTTAATAAATCATTAAATTTTTAAAAATAAAACATATTATTTTAATATAGATACCAAAATAAGTTATAGTTATTTATATATAAACACAATGACACTTATATTAAAATAATTTAATTTTTTTCCTAAAAATTTCTTTAAACAATTTGCATTTAATTTATTCTAATAATTTGTCTACATTCTATGCGAAACCAAGTTCAACTTACCATCTCAAAACTTTCCACTAGTTTCGTGAGTGGATCCTTTCATTGTTAAGAGTAAGGAAAAAACTTCGAAGTTCTCTACTTTTTCACTATAAACTTATGTAAACAAATTCAATTGATTTCACCATACACAACCACCATTATAATTGCAATTATTTAACCATACCTTGCAAGAATTGTAAAACTAACACGGTAGCACAAACAACATTAAGGTCCCCAATCTCACATGTAGCTGCTTGTTCAAAAGCAATGAGTAAAAGAATTATGCAGAGCACAAAGTGCAAGCAATAATCAAGAAACATAATGTTGCAAAGATGTCAGAGGACCTTAACCATGCAGTAAATTCTACCACCAGCCACTAGGTGGCTCTTTTATAACTCTTCATTCAAACTAGTAGTCACTCACAAACAACCACCTACCTTTATGCTGGGACACATAAATGACCACTCTCTCTCCATTCTAGTATTTAATTTTCCAACCTCAATAAGAAAGGAAAATTATGAAGCACAAACCCCTTTAATATCTCTTCATACTTCCTTCCTTTTAACCCAACACCCTTCTTCAAGCACTCTAGCTTTCTCCTTCTTGGCATGAAACATGGCCAAGACCCCAATGGGAAACATGGATTGCTTTCTTACAAGCTATTTTCTATTTTTCACGATGTTGTTCTCAGCAAATGCTCAATTTGCTAAGAATACTTATCTCATTCAAATGGAAAAATCAGCAATGCCGAAAGCCTTCCCCAACCACCTTGAATGGTATTCATCAAAGGTGAAATCAGTTCTGTCCACATCCCCAGAAGCTGATATGGACAATGAAGAGAGAATAATCTACACTTACCAGAATGCTTTTCATGGTGTTGCAGCCAAGTTGACTAAAGGAGAAGCTGATAAGCTAGAGGCTGAAGAAAGTGTTGTGGCCATATTCCCAGATAAAAAGTATGAGCTACACACCACAAGAAGTCCTACATTCCTTGGGCTTGAACCAGCAACAGCCCCTAACATGTGGTCAGAAAAGCTTGCTGGCCATGATGTTATAGTAGGAGTGTTAGACACTGGGATTTGGCCAGAGAGTGAAAGCTTCAAAGATGTAAGCATGGGACCAGTATCTACTCATTGGAAAGGTGCCTGTGAGATTGGAACAGGCTTCACAAAAAGTCACTGCAATAAAAAGGTTGTGGGGGCAAGAGTGTTCTACCACGGATATGAAGCAGCAGTTGGTAAAATTAATGAGCAAAAGGAGTACAAATCACCAAGAGATCAAGACGGGCATGGCACTCACACAGCAGCTACAGTTGGTGGCTCTCCTGTGCTTGGGGCTAACCTTCTTGGTTATGCTAATGGCACAGCAAGAGGAATGGCACCAGGTGCAAGGATTGCCGCTTACAAAGTGTGTTGGATTGGTGGGTGCTTCAGCTCAGATATTGTGTCAGCTATTGATAAAGCTGTGGCTGATGGAGTGAATATTCTTTCCATCTCTTTGGGTGGCGGAATCTCCTCTTATTACCGTGATAGTTTATCTGTTGCTGCATTTGGAGCAATGGAGAGGGGTGTTTTTATTTCGTGTTCTGCAGGAAATGCAGGACCTGACCCTGCTAGCCTCACCAATATTTCACCTTGGATCACCACAGTTGGAGCCAGCACAATGGATAGGGATTTTCCAGCAGTAGTTAAGCTTGGAAATGGTAAAATAGTGACTGGAGTTTCACTCTACAAAGGGCGAAGTGTGCTATCAATCGAGAAACAATACCCTTTGGTTTACTTGGGGAGCAACTCTAGCAGGGTTGATCCAAGATCCATGTGTTTGGAAGGGACTTTGGATCCTAAAGTGGTTTCGGGAAAGATAGTGATTTGTGATAGAGGCCTTAGTCCTAGAGTGCAAAAGGGTCATGTGGTGAGAAGTGCAGGAGGGGTGGGAATGATTCTCACAAATACTGAAGCTAATGGAGAAGAACTGGTTGCAGATTGCCATCTCCTTCCTGCAGTTGCAATAGGAGAAAAAGAAGGAAACTATCTCAAAACTTATGTCCTATCAAGTCAAAGTGCTACTGCAACTATAGCTTTTAAAGGTACAAGGTTGGGAATTAGGCCATCTCCTGTAGTGGCAGCATTTTCATCAAGAGGGCCTAATTTTCTCACCCTTGAAATTCTGAAGCCTGATTTAGTGGCGCCTGGCGTTAACATTCTTGCTGCTTGGAGTGAGGCCATTGGTCCATCAGGTTTGAAAATAGACGACAGGAGAGAGAAGTTCAATATACTCTCTGGAACCTCAATGTCATGCCCCCATGTGAGTGGCATAGCAGCCTTTCTCAAGGCTAGGCACCCTGAGTGGAGTCCTGCTGCTATAAAATCTGCTTTGATGACAACAGCTTATGTTCTTGACAACACAAAGAAAACCCTCACGGATGCCTCAACCGCTAAACCTTCAACTCCTTATGATCATGGTGCTGGACACATTGACCCTATTGGAGCTCTTGACCCTGGTTTGGTCTATGACATTGAGCCACAGGATTACTTTGAATTCCTATGCACACAGAACCTGACTCCAAGCCAATTACGAGTTTTTGCCAAATATTCCAACAGATCTTGCGCACACTCTCTTGCCAGTCCAGGGGACTTGAACTACCCAGCCATATCATCAGTCTTTACCCAAAAATCAGCCACTTCACTCTCCAGCCCTGTGATTGTTCACCGAACTGTCACCAATGTTGGTCCTCCTGATTCCAAATACCAAGTTGTGGTCTCACCATTCGAAGGTGCTTCTGTCAAAGTTGAGCCAGAAACTTTGAATTTTACCGAACACCACCAAAAGCTATCTTACAAGATTACATTCACTCCAAGGGTTCGCCAAACCTCGCCCGAATTTGGAAGTCTAGTATGGAAGGATGGTTTGCACACTGTGAGAAGCCCCATTGTGATAACATGGCTGGCACCACCAATGTGAATTACAAGTTCAGTAGTATTACTTTGTTGCAATAAGAAAATCTTCTGTACTAGGAACTAGAATTCAACCCTTTTTGTGTTACAAGAAAAGTTATTATTTTAGTATTGTATCCTATGTTCCTCTTCCTCCATTATAGACTCAACCAACATCATCACCATTCACGTATAATTCACAAAACTAAAGTCGCAAAATGCTTAAAATTGCCATCAAATGGAACTTATTGCTGGTTCTGAAATCTCAATTATTGTGATTGCATTAGCTTTCTTGTTCCACCACTGTTTTACATTATACACTCATTCTTTCCTTCATCATTTATGATAATTGAGTCTAGACAGACCCTTTTGACCATTTGGAACAGACAATTAAATGGATAGCAGAGGATGAACCGAAGCATTTACGAATCGAACTGCACTGTTCCTTTCTAGCTATTTCATTGCTTCTTCACCTCTCTTTTCCTCTGCACGTGAATTTAATTTTCATTTGAACAAGAGAGGTTGTTGCATGTGCCTCTCAACTGCTAAGGTAAATAGCTGGCCTCATCAAGAATTTATGGTCCAAAGTACTACTTATACAAAGTCACAACACCATATAAAGATAATTTACTTACACACTCTGTTTACATTAAATTTGAAATTTACTTAATAATTCTAACCAATATTTTTAAAATTGAATGGATCATGAAATTGGTAAAGACATTTAAAGATTTAATTAGAGTTTAATTAAAAACTGTAATAATAGAAAATGTTATTACGAGAATGCTATAATAAAGGAGAATTTGAAGTGGACATGCGTGTATAGTAAAGAAAAAAATTGAAAAATATATCTTAGAAAAAATTGACTTCTAAAAATAATTAAAATTTTATTTTTTTTATCAAATTGGACTAAAAAATTTAGCTTTTATTTATTTATTTTGTATTAATTCAATTAAAATTTGATTATTCTGGATAATCAGATTAACTCTAACAATAAAACATGTATATGAAATATATTTAAAATTTTAATTTATTTATGAAATTTCTGTCTTATGTAATTATAACCTCCATCCTATATAAAATATAATGAATTGGCCTCTTTAAATAAATCTCATTGCAAGAAATTAGAAAAGAGAAAAAAACGAAATATTAATTTATATAAATTCTCATACGGTTTTTCTAAAGTTTTAAAATTTATGCATAATTTCATTTTCACTTGGATAAAATCTATCCTTTTTTCCTCACCCGTGAACAGGTTTTTTTTATATAAACCTATAATTCTGCATCAACTTTTCTAATTCTTTTTGTTTGTTATTTTAGAATATCTCTAGTTATTAGTGAGAAACTGATTTCTCAGTATAGAAAAAATTATTTAAGAAATATGTTTATTATTTCAGAAACAAAGAATTTCCTCATTTTCCTCCACAAACATATGATCTGAAATTTCAGATGTCAAGATACTATTTTCCAAAATTTCCTTAATATTGTCGGTAAATAACCTACCTGTTTATATTTTCTTTAAGGGAATTACTATATTTTTTTCTAAATTTTTGTTTTTAATTTAAATAAAATAATAAACCCAACTAAAAATGTTAAATTGCATTTGAATAAGGTAATGGATGATTATATTTTTCATATGAAAATATTTATTTCAACTTTTGCTCTCTGATTCCTAACCACTTGTTTGTCAAAAATATATTATTCTCACTAATTTTGAAATGAGACCTATATATTCACTATAAAATTAATCAATGTTTACATTAGTTAAAAATATGAGTTAATATCGTTTAGTTATATTAATCAGATTCAAAAATATTTTTTCTGAATTTTTTTTTATTAAAATCTGATATAAAGAATAAAAAAGTTATCGGAAATAAAATTTGAACTGACTAAAGAGTATTTGTGAATTAATATTGTTAATTTGTATACAGTTTACTTATATTTGCAAAACTTGAATGTAAAAATTTGATATAAAAAATATTATTTATAATGTAAAAAAAAGTATACAGTTTACTAATCAAATTTGATTACAACAAATATTATTTTTTTTATTATGTCAACAATTTTGAGATTAATTTTATATATATATATATATATATATATATATATTCTATTAAAACTCAAATATTAATATTAATAAAGTAAATGTTTAACTTAATCTTATAAATCATATAATTAATTCCATATAATAATACTTAAAATATTTTCATCATCATTACTTTTTTTTCAGAACATACAATGTTTTTAACATACACTATCTATATCAATATTCGTATATGTGAAACCTTTATTATTATTATTATTTTTTTTTTAAGCAAATATTTAATTTAAAAATAATTTTTAAAAAAATAGAGATTATTTTAAATAATGAAACATGTAATACCAAATGAAAAACTAATCGTTAATAAGACAAGTTAGATAAGTTTTTAAAGTATTTTTTGATAATACAATAAATATTAAAAAAACTAAAATTAACTTATAAATAAATTTAAAAAATATTTTTACAAATTATTTTTCTCATAATGACACAATATACATAATGACACAATATACGCACTTACAATCATGTGTTATAAATCTAAAATAGTGTCGTTTTAAGTTCAAGAGAGACGTCGTTTTGAAGCAGTGATCGTGTATGTATCGCTTTGTCGTTTGAAGCGATCATCACGCGCAAACATGGTGATTGTAACCAACATCACCTCCACCATCATCATCGCCTTCTCTTTGGACCGTCAACTGAATGCTAAACCTTAACACATGTCCACCTTCGTTCAGATTCGAGACGCCGGCGTCGCCGCCGACGCAGGAGACGGCTTCGACTCTCCGGCGAAGCAGAAAGCCGCCAGCCGAAGCGCCTACAGCTACCGCCCCCTTCTCAACCTCCGCCGAGCCAAACAGTTCCTCGGCGCTTCCAAGTTCAAGCTCTTCTTAGGGCTGTTCGCTCTCTCCGTCGTCATTTTGGTCACCTCCAGACTCAGTTCGTGGATGGGTTGGAACCCTCACCACCCTTCTTCGGTTTCCTCTACTTCAAGGTATAAAAATATTGGATCTGTTTTATTTTATTGTGCACTATATGTTCTTTTTAGGGTGAATTTAAAATGGTTGTGAAAATTAAATTATTCACTGATTATATGTATAATCGACTATTATTATGATATCCAGAGTTTTTGTTCAGATAATTACGTTGAAAAGTAGTTCTAAGAGAATTGATTTGGTCTTGATTTGAAAAAAAAAAAACAGTTTTTATGTGTATATGTTTGCTTTAAAATGGAGTTTCCCGTTACTTGATCTTGCAATTGGAAGGCATCATTTGGACAAATTCCCTTAACAAAAGACACAATATAATGAGTTAGGTTGTTTATTTCAGCTTGATATGTGTTAGCATAAGATCTTCAGACTCCTATCCGACGATACTCGTGATGGTAGATTGATTCCCTAATACATTATAAATTTGTAATTTATTCCGGGAAAACAATTGGACCACTTTGGATGAATTTCTTTATAACCAATTCTAGAATAGAAAAATTGAAATTAGCTTCTCCATTAGTAAAATTAATCTATGTATAAACTAATTTTGTATTATGAAAACTTCATTTCATTTTATTGTGAGTCACTTGGAGCAGTGCTGCATGAGCTTTGTTTGAGTGTCGTTTGTCTTTGATTTTTTGAAAACTGAAAGAAGTTTTTAAAAAATTGAAATAGCACACACTTATATATCTTCTAGTGGTTTTTTCTTGGATGTAATGACATAAAATACATCGTCGTTCTTGCTCCCAGTAGAATTGTAGTTGTGAAGCTTTTTTTTTTTTTTTTTTTATGTTTTATAATTTAAGCTGGATCTGCTGATACAACTGATTTAATTCATGATTCAGGGCTGGCTATACTGTGCTTATAAACACTTGGAGGCAAAAATCTCTTCTGAAACAAACAGTTGCTCATTATGCATCCTGTCGAAGTGCTGATGCAATGCATGTGGTGTGGACTGAAAGTGAACAACCATCTGAGAGGCTGAAAACAGATCTTAATAAGATTGTGGTTTTGAAGTCTCAGAAAGCTCATAAATCAAACTTTAGATTTTACATCAATGAAGATTATGAGTCGAACAGCAGGTTTAGGCCAATAAAGGACCTGAAGGCAGATGCAATTTTCTCAGTTGATGATGATGTAATTGTTCCATGCTCTACTCTAGATTTTGCTTTCTCTGTCTGGCAAAGTGCACCACTCACAATGGTGGGATTTGTTCCTCGAATGCACTGGCTGGATAAGGAGGTAAGGTATTAGTAAATTAGTGCTTTTTTCTGTTTCATTACTTAAATTTGAACCGCTGAAATTTTACATTTTTATAGTTTTTAATTTCTCAAAGGTTGAATATTACTTTGAAGTGTGCAATAATTCTTGCACGTTGGATGCTGAAACCTTGAGTATTTTATAGGATTAGCTGTAATATGGCAGAGTCCAACTGAACTAAAAGCTTGACATATAATTTTGATTGGTTACGTATGAAGAAAAACACTTATTACTTGTTTACATAAGAATGGTGGAAGTGAAACTCCTATTTACGGGTTTGAGGGTGGGGATGGAGGGAGAAAAAATGGAACTAAAATGGACAAGGCTCTTTTAAGTCTTAATATCTCTAAAGTGAGCAAATAAGGGTGTATCATCCTCATTTTAATTTAAATTATATCATGTTTATAATCCTCTAATTTTCTTGTAGATACACCCTTGATCAATTTAGAGACAAACTCACTTCAAAGATAACTATTATGTTATATTGTGCAGAATAATGGGAGATGACTAATTAGTAGGATAAACACATGGCATGTTTACCACTATATTTTTATTATGAAAGAAAGCAAAAATAGGAAATGTGCAGATGTCCACTGTATTCATGGAAATGTGCTTGATAGTAACAAGATTTACCTTTGTTGAATATGACTTTTAAGATATTTTGCATATTGTTCCTGACTGATTTCTCTTTGCATACTACAGCAAAATAATGTTGCATATTACAGGTATGGAGGATGGTGGTCTGTTTGGTGGATGGGCACTTATAGCATGGTTCTCTCAAAGGCTGCATTCTTTCACAGGAAATACTTGGATTTATATTCTCACGAGATGTCTCCATCAATTCAGGGCTATGTTTCCAGGGAGAGGTAATATATATGATTAACCCTTGCAAGAATTTTAAATTGATTATTATCACTTATTCTTTTCCATGTCCTTGATACTTTTTTAAAATTTTAACTTTTTTTTCCTTCAAAAGAACTTGCGAAGACATTGCAATGTCCCTTCTCGTTGCAAATGCCACAGGTGCTCCTCCAATATGGGTGAAAGGTAATTTTTTGTTCTGTCTCAAAGTATTGGATTCAGTTTGTTGTGTGCGATCTACAGTAGTAGCTTAAGTTTAGAAGAAAATATTTGTTAAAGCTTCAGTGCATGTAATTTCCCAGTTAAATTAATTTCTCATACAAATTTTGCTCATTATTTGAAAATTGCAATCATAGATAACCGCTTTGAAATAGGCATGGACTTGGGAACTAAGCATTATTAAACATGGATATAGCAATTAAAACCATAGAACAGCACAAAATATAAGGATGCAATATGTGCATCTCAATTAGATATGACATTATTCCGATGGAAGTCTCTTAGAGTTGATCACTTTATTTTTAATTTTTTACTTTCTGTAGTACATTTTAAAGATGCTGGGCTGTTGTAACTTGTACTTAATAATTAGTACTTTGGTATTAGCGTCTAGCACAAACATTGCTCCAATGTCATATCACAGCTTCGTATTTCATTGCTCATAGCATTAAAAATTTTAAAAACTACATGAATAAAGTTATTATATTGCTCCTATATTGCAGTTTCAGACATTTAGGATCTGTTTTGGCTAAACTAGTTATCAGCTGAAAAGCTAAATTTTTAACAAAAAGTTATGCAATTAAAATTGTTTTATAGAATTTATGAGTTAATTCATAAATGTAAAATGACATAAAAGATATGTTTACATAAATTTTTCATGTTAATTATTTCCTTTTCAGACAACAATATATTTTATTTAGGGAAATATAGCTTTGGTTTTTTTTTTCCTTAATTTTGATGTCTTAATTTTTTGTTTAAAAATCAAATTGTTTTATTTCAAATTAAAATAAATAGTGTAAATACAGTGATAATTAAAATAAATGGTATAATATTGAGAAAAAAAATTATCACTAAAGAAATTGGGTATTCTGAAAGTGGGTTAGGGGAGTTACTTGGAGATAGATTGGTATGTGAATTTGGGGGATAGGATTTTTCTTGAAATACGAGAAGATTAACGAGGAATTTTATTAACGTAAGTGTAAAAATGAAAAATTAAAATGCTCTGATGCTACATCTGGTAATGTATAAAGAACACTAGCTAAACTCATTTTGTCAAACATATTTTTGTCGCCAATTTCTTCCTGTAGATTCCTAGAATTGGTTGATTTTATTCTCAGTAGTACGCAGAACTCAATAATTGCCAGTGATTCATTAATTTTCTATGGCACTCAGCTTGAAGTTAATGAGATATCAAAACTTTTACATGAATTTTGCAGGCAAAATCTATGAGATTGGTGCATCGGGTATTAGCAGTCTGAGAGCACATAGTCACAGGAGAAACAGATGTCTCAATGAGTTGATATCACTTTACAAACCTCTGCCACTTGTGTCAACTAATGTGAAAGCCGTTAGCGCTAGAAATGAATGGTTATGGTAGTTTTGTTGATTCATTTATCAGTTACCAACTCGCCGATCCATTCCACTACGAAAGAAAAAAAAAACTAAAGAAGAAAACTAAAGATTAAAAATCATTGGTTGAGGAATTTATCAGTATATTGTGTGTATATAATAGTTCCACACTTCTAGTAAAGTGTCTAACTACATTTTGGTTCATTGATATCTGATGCAAAACATGATGTCATTTGAATCTTTAGTTTGATGCCCCACCTTTTCTTTTCCCCTCTATCTTGTTAAACCTTGGTAAACCAAACCTGGTTCTTCAATATTTTTAGCAAAGAGACAATATTTTTAGTAAAGAGGCAATATTGTTAAAAGTGGAGAAAGGTTTTCTCGGATGTAATTGATGGTCAGGTGACCAAATATCGTTCAACCACATAACTTTTAAACATGAGTTTGTTTTAATAAAATTAAATAATTTGAATGGTTAAGATACCATAAAAATGTCCTCTGCTAAAGAAAACCTGGGCCTACTAAAACCAGGTAGAGCATCGAACTTCCCTATAACACGTGAAAAACAAGATCACATGACAATTTTAAACAATGCTTCAATGTTATTTGTTAACAAGGTTTTCGCATTTACATCATGTTACAAACTCATGATATTGTAGGATATAAAGTTCAATTTTGGGCCATAAATGTCACTTTTATAAAGACTGACATCCGGTAAATTTTGTGATGATACTGCTTTAATCTATAAAATTGGATACATGTCAGCATTTTGTATAAATTTTTAGCTCCTTCACTTCCTCTCTGTATTCTGCATCTCTTTTACCATGAAAAACTGGGTTTCAATATTCTATTTTATATGAATACTCATTGCAATGATGCATTGTTCTCATTCATGGGACACTTGAACAATTTCAAGCAATGTAACTGACAGTCTGAGTATTTTGCAGCCTCATGCCTTGTGTGTGATGTTCACCTCATCCACCCTGTCATATTTGGTTTCATAAACCTACCCATATGCTTAGAGGTATAAATGGACTTACCAAACTGTGATCAAACACAGCATTTATGTTGCCTTCTTCTGCCAAGAGTAACAAACAATTAGTTCTTGAAAGTAGCCATGCCGGGGCAGAAATAAAATAACACTGTTTCAAACAGAATTTTACTAACCATCTCATTTCATTCATTAATAGTTGTAAAGATATAATAAATCATTAATTGTTTGCTATGAATGATTCTTAATTTAAATAAAACACTGTTGACAACTGGTAATTTATTAATCAAATCTGTTACCTATAGTGGAGGATTTCTTGTACTCTTAAACCAAAAACAAAATGATCGTGAAAACCGAATTAAAAATATTTCCAACAAAAAAGTCAAATCATTTGTTTTACCTTACAGTTTCTTGTGTTTTTTTTTGTTCTGACTTCTTTTCCAAATTCCTTTCCCGACGTGTGAACACAACTTTGAACACTTATTCTCTTTGACTTCATTGATCAACTAAAATAATACATTTGCTGTCAAAGGAAAAAGAAGATGAACTGAAAAAATCAAATGAAAAACATAGAAAAGGAGAAATCTTAATTTGAAGTTAAAAAAATTTATTAATAATAGTTTAAACTAATCTTTGCAGATAATATTTATTGGGTATTCAAGATTATCACGAACATAATGGTAATTAATATTAAATCTAAAATTTTTAGGTTATATAATTTTTTATTAATAATCATTCAATTTTTTATTTTTATTTAACGTGATATTTTAATTTATATTTAAACATTTTAATTCTAGTTGAATTTTTTTTCTTTTAACATTACAATGTAAGTCTCAACACCATGCTAGAAATTAATGTGACAAATTTTTTTTATGGTTGGATTTAAAATAATGTGACAAATGTTCACCGTAAAATTCAGGGTTGAAATTTAGAAAATTAGGTTGGCGAAACTTGACTTTTTGGCGCCATAGATTGCGGGAAATTGGTGCTTTAGTCGTTTGATAGGTGTATCCAACTCTAAACACACATTCTATTTAGGAAAAGAGTTAGAAAATTTTAGGTAAATTTAATTTTAGATACTTATTAGAATTACCACATATCTTCAAATTTTATAAACTAAATTGTCGGAAAAAAAATAATTTTATAAATTACAATCAATTTATTATAATTTAATTTGTAGAAACTCTTTCCTCTAAATTTTTAGTTTTTAACGTGTACACAATTATACAAGGTAGATATAGGGTATACAATTTTCAATTATTTTTCATCTTAATTTTTTCCATTTAGTACGAATTTGAAATCTCAAAAGTGATGACAAAAAGTTAGTTATTTTAATTAAATTGACATAATCATCTATTATTTACATCATACCAAAGTTTATAACAAAAGAAAATATATAACATTTATGAAAATATTAGGTCAAAACTCATGAAAAAAATTGAATAAATATAAATTAAACATACCGTATTCGTTTCTATAGAAATAATATCTAATAAAATCAGAAATTATCTTTTATATTGAAGTTATGATTAGTTAATTTATTAATAAATACTTTTTTAATAAAAATCATCTAAACTAATGAAGATATAATGACCATCTCACACGTAACTAATAATTTTCTAATCCTTAAAATTTTTCATGATTAAGAAAGTGTTACATTTTTAATCAAATATTATTATTTCAATATTACATATATTTTAAGATAATAATTATATAATAATAAATTTTATTCTAAAACATAACACGGTAAAAACAGGTCAGTTATTTTTCTTTTGACCCGTCCTATTTCTTTAATGAAAAAAAAAAAAAAAAAGACAGAAAGAATTAGTCCACCAATCTGCAAATAAATAGGTTAGTCTATTATATAATTTTTTATATTAATTTTGTAAAAATACACCTTTAATTATATATAAAAAAATTGAAATTTTATTCATTATTTAATATTTTTATTAGATAAATTTTAAAAAAATATATATATATATTTATATATTAAAATACTTAATTTTAATTAATTAATATTTATAATTTAATATTTTAATAACAAAATAAAAATATAATATTTTTAATTATAATTTATATTATTTTAATTTTAATAATAAATATTTTTTTTTAAATAAATATACTCCATTTTGACTCATCAAATTAATAAATTAAATAAAATTAGTCAAAATTAAAATTGGAATCCTATTCAATTTTTTTTTTTTTGGCAAATCGATAGTACAACCAGTAGTACTAACCAGATTTATTATCCTGTTACAACATTTATGATATCAATTCATACATGTATTTGTTTCCATGAAATTCCAACAAAATTCTCCAATTTTGGACGAAACCTAATTATCAGAAAGTTGGTCTAGGAATTGGTTGGTGTTATAGTAGTAAAAATGAATATTGGGTTATGTCTTAGTCCCACATGATATGCATTGTTGTGTCCTCCAGGGACAAGGATACCCTACAAGTACAACCACCATCCTTTTCATGTGAGACTATGTCTTTATACCTCAATCGCTTTTTCTCTGACTCCACACACTGCATCCATATTTTTTAATTTATTTTATCAAATTTGAGTAGTCAAATAATTTTGTATGAACCAATTACCAAGATTTTTCACTTCACGGTTTTTATTTTTAGGACCATGAGGACAATAAATAACCATCATTGGCACGTGTTTTTCAACAATAAAGGCACTCACACGTGACTTTAGATGGATATTAAATTATGTTATCAATTCATGTCTAAAGATGAATGTTTTAAATGAGAAGAACAAATTTTAAAATCTAAGACACTGATTAAATGAAAATATATTTAAAATGTATATTAATAATATCTTTAAATACTCTTTTATTTTTTATACACGAAGACACTGATTAGGAATTTTTTTAATTATTTTAAAACAACGTTAAATCGTCTTATGATGATGAGGATAATAAAGAACTATAATTGTCACACCACTTTCTACATTAAAGTCACATGTTGAAGAAAATTTCATCTATAAAAATGGATATGTTTTATGTTGATATAAAATTTTATTTAAAATGTTGCAGAAAATTGAAATGATTTTAATGGGGTAGATGATATCAACGTTGACTAAAACACAACCTTTTTTTATCTGTGAATAGAAATTTCTTCTTTTCTTTTCAATAAAAGCAGTGAAAGTTTTATTAATTGATATTTTCTTAAATGATAAAATATTTAATTCAATTTTATAAAAGGTAATGATTGTATTATTTATATATTATAATATTATCATATAATATTTTTCAACATATTTTATTTTTTATCATATCTCCCAATTATTATCTAAAATTGTTAAGATAATAAATATTAATAATTATAGATTTAATTATATGTTATTAAATCAATATTAGAACACACAAGATAATATAAAAATATTTATCTTTAATACGAAGAACGAATAATTATATTACAAATTTTAATATTTTATCAAATAATAATATATAAGAGTATCATCTTTATATTATTAAATTAATTTTATAAAATTAAATTATATATCTCATAATTTTTAATATTATATAAAAATATTACATTAAACAAAATCACATTAAACTCTTATTCATCTTTATATATATATATATATATATATATATATATATATATATATATATATATATATATATATATATATATATTATCCTAAGTTCTTTAACTTATTTCCATAGTTTTTTTTAGTGAATTTTCACTTCTCAACTCATAATTAAAAAAAAAAAAGAATAAAGATTGTTGCCATAGAGTGAGGTCAACACATGTTATCATAATTTATATATTTAATTTTCTATACTATGTTACTCATTTTAGTTTTTTTTATTCTCTTTTTTTTCCTAAGTTAAAAATAAAATAAAATAAGATGAACAGTATATCAATAATAATCTTAAATATTTGTTTAAAAATAATCACTAGTTAATATTAAGTCTTTCAAATAAATAAATAAAAAAACAATGAAAAGGAATGAATTTTTTTTCCAATGTATAATCCGAAACAGGCAAAAATTTAGAAAGACTATTGATGCGTATTTGTGACAATGAGCATAGGAGAAAATTGCAATTAGTAGATTAAAAAGTGAAAATGCAGCGAAAGAAAAGAGCAAAGAAGATTTTGGTGGTGTTCTGTTATTACCACCACAAAGTGTGGGTCATCATGGCCTATTGGCTAATCATGATTTAAACAAAGGTTGGTTTGAAGAAGGAAGTTGGAAGTTTGAAGAAGCATAAAAGGTGGTAAAAAGGAAACTCACCTACTCCCCACTCCCATGCCAACCTCTCAAACCCTACTTTTCACATCTTCTCTTCATGTTTAATAATTCATCATATTTTATGTAAACCTTTATTGTACTTAGCATGCTAGGACAAAAGTAGTAGCTTTCACATTAACCCTACCTTAACCTTAGGGCAAACACACAGTTTTTACTACTACAAATTAATCAACTAATTACCTAAATACTATTATTTTATGTAAACATCTTATTTTCACTCTTTCATTTTTATCCTAGGATCCAACCAAACATCATAAGAGAAAGGAGACCATGATAGAATGAGTACATGTATTATGAAATGAAGGCACTGATTTTGTTTTGGTCATAATGTAGACATGGAAAGAAAAATCATTACAACTGGAAAAGTGCTTTTTACGTATACATTTTTAGACAAAGTCAATCAAGTAACATCAATTCCCATTCTAGCTCTGCACGTAAATACAACAAAACTAGAAACACAAGAAACAGGGTCTTAGAAAATTCAGTTCTAAAGAAACTCGTAGGATGGGTAAGAAGTTTTAGTATTAAGACACAATAAATAAAACTCAAATAAAGAGAACTCAATAATAGAACCTTAGCTATGTTAATTAAAAAAATAAACTTTGATCAATGTTGAGTTCTAAAATAGTTCAAATGTTTAATAAAGATACCAGTTACCATTTCGCTGGCGTGAATACCATTTTTGCTAACTATATTTATAATAAAATATATATTTCCTCCAGTTTCATAATAACTGTAGTTCTAACAATTAATAAAGTTTTAAATTTCTTTTTCTTGATTATTAAGTTTAATTAATACATTTATAAAGTTTAATTAATTCATTTATTATCTCAAAATCACATCACATGAGGAGAGTTAATTGTGGTTTTTAAAGAAGACTAAATAAAAAATAGTACCATAACGTACTTGTCTGATGCGCGATGCTAATCCCAATCAAAACAAACAACATCGTCAACAAAAGTCCAGCAAGAAACAGTCATCTCATCACCATTCAGTCTTGTCCAGACACAGACACAGAACACACAAACTCTCTCTCTCTCTCTCTCTCTCTCTCATATATAGATACAAACAAGAAAACGCAGACAAAATTCCCTCCACTTCTTCTTCTTCTTCTTCTTCTTTTACTTTCAATTCCATTCTTTTCTCTCCTCTCTTCTCTACGCATCTCTTCAATTCCCAAACGCAAAAGCTTCACAACAGAAACACCATGACATGATCAACCCATTCTCCCTAACAACTTGAATCCAACCATCAAACATGCCATCCCGACAACTCTCCACATCATCAGACACACCGCCACGTCATCTCCATCACCACCACCACCACCACCACTTTTTCATTCCTCTTCTCGCCGCCACCGTCTCAGCCTTCTCCCTCCTCCTTCTCCTCTTCCTCCTCTGCCACCGCATCCTCACACGCAAACGCACCACCAACCCCCTTCCTCCCCCTTCCTCCTCCCCCCGCACCGCCTCTCATTCTCCGTCCTCCGCCGCGCCACCAACTCCTTCTCCTCCCGCCTCGGCCATGGGGGCTTCGGCCCCGTCTTCGCCGGCATCCTCGCCGGCGACCCTGTCGCGGTTAAGCTCATGGACTCCGCCTCCTCCCACCAGGGCGAGCGCGAGTTTCACAACGAACTCTTCTTTGCCTCCAAACTCCACTCTCGCCATGTCATCACCGCTACCCACTTCTCCTCCGACCCCAAACGACGCCGCTTTCTCTTGGTCTACGAGCTCATGCAAAACGGTAACCTCCAAGACGCGCTTTTGCACCGTAAGTGCCCCGAACTCTCAAACTGGAACACCCGCTTCTCAATTATTCTCAACATAGCCAAAGGAATTCACTTTCTCCACTCATGTGATCCCTCTGTTCTCCATGGAGACATAAAGCCGAGTAACGTTTTGCTTGATCGAGATTTCTTGCCCAGGATCGGTGATTTTGGGTTGGCGAGGTTGAGTTCGGAGCCTCCGAGGTTCGAAATTGAGGTTCTGGAGTGTGGTAGTGTTAATAATGATCAAGAGAAGGGGAAGATGAAGAAGGAGGAGGAGGTTGATGATTGTGGATCCGTGGAGAGTACTCATAGTGTTTTTATGGAAGAAGGTAGCCTGGGGGTGGAGCAATCTCCCTCCCCGGAGATGGCGGCGATGGTAGCGACGACTTCGCCGGAGACGGGTTTGGCGGAGGCTGCTGCGTCGCCAGGGTTTGAGAAGGAGGATGCGAAGAAGATGAATGGGAAAGGGTTGAAGAGTAATTCGGTGAGGGATTGGTGGTGGAAGCATGAGAATGAGGTTGGGGGTGGGGAGAGTAAGAAGGTTAAGGATTATGTTATGGAGTGGATTGGGAGGGATGTGAATAAGGATAGGGTGAAGGGTGGAATTGAGTATGACGATGTGGAGACTGGGAAGGAAGGAAGAAAGAAGAAGAAGAAGAAGAAAAGGGGGAAGGAATTGGAATGGTGGGAGTCAATGGAAGAGGAAAAGGTTGATGGGGTTGTAAAGGCGAAGAGAAGGACGGTGAGGGAGTGGTGGAAGGACGAGTGTTTTGAGGAGAATGAAAATAAGAAGAAGAAGAAAAAGAGGAAAGGTGGAAGTGTGAAGAGTGATGATATTGAGAATGGTGATGATTGGTGGGTGAGTGATGATGCAATTGATAAGAGGAACCACAAAAGTAGGAGTAGGAACAACCGTGGGAACATGGATTGGTGGATGGATGGGTTGAGTGGTGAGTTATGGAGAGGAAGGAGGAATAATAGCTTCGATTCTGCTAGTGGGGAAATTCCAAAGAGTGGTGGTGTTAGTAGTACTCCTAGTATGAGGGGAACTGTCTGTTATGTTGCTCCTGAATGTGGCTATGGTGGGGATGTGACTGAGAAATGTGATGTGTATAGCTTTGGGGTGTTGTTGCTTGTGATAATTTCTGGGCGGCGCCCACTTCAGGTGAGTGGTTCACCCTTGTCTGAGTTTCAGAGGGCGAACTTACTTTCCTGGGCGCGCCATTGTGCACGAAATGGGAAGCTTGTTGAGTTGGTTGATGAGTGTATTCAGTTGTTGGATAAGGAGCAAGCTCTTCTCTGTATCAAGGTGGCTTTGCTTTGTTTGCTGAAGTCACCTTCTCGTCGTCCTTCAATGAAGGAGGTTGTGGGGATGCTTAGTGGGGAGGTGGAACCACCCCAATTGCCTGTTGAGTACTCTCCTTCAACCCCTTCTCGGTACCCTTTCAAGTCTAGGAGAAAAGGCAGGTGAGTTTCTAGTTCTGATATCAGATAGCACAATTTCATTAGATATTAAACTAGTATACTGGCAGTGGCAGTTTACCTGTGACAGAAACAAAAAAATGTATAGGGATTTAGGAGGGGAAAGCTATGCTCTCACCATTTGAGCTCACTTCCTCTTTAATGATTATTTTTAAATTGATGTTAATCACTTTGGTCCCAGTTCTTTCAGTTTTCTTTGTTTTGATACCATTGTGGTGGATCAGTAGTGTTTGATCTGTGTACATTTAGATTCACATACTTCAGGCATTTTTTGATGCTGACTTATAGGCATACCTTGAGTGATGTTCATCTTTTGGAATATTATGGCCTATGTTCTTGTTGTGAGGACTAGGTCCACGTTTGTAGTTTGCAATCTTAATTTTGGAAATGAAAGAACAACATACATTTTGTTTACGACTGAAGTTATTCTTTTGTTGAATTGTGGTCCATTAATGTTTACTGCTTTTGTAGAATTTGACTAGGCTTTACAGTTTTATCGATCAGTTTTCTTCCTAGGTTGAAGAGCCATGGTGGTGATACCTGTTGTAATTGACATTGGAATTTGAAATGTTTAAATTCTTTGAAGCAGAATCTATCTGTAAGCTTTTCTCATGTGATTGTGTTGATGGTTGTAAGAGTGAAATGATGCACTCTTCCTTTTCTCCAAGATGCTCTGTTTGGTAAGTAGTAATTACTGTAAAGGAAATGTTATTCTAAATTATCAACTGGGTCAGCAAAATTGGCTAAATGACTCAATTTACGGGTGGATTTTCCCATGCAGAGGTTAAAAACTTGGGGCAGATACTAGTTTTGTCTGCTACTTTAAGCGTTGATAATTTTCAATAGTTTCATAATCATTGTTAGGACTCAAATTTGAGAGACAATGAAACTCTGAAAGGCTCTTATTTCTTGCCCTGCCACCTCTAACAATTGTGTTCAATCAGAAAATTCAAGGACTCCCTGAAAATTTGCATTGAAAATGGTTATTTTGCTTTTCATGCATAGTCTTATGTTCCTCACTTTTTTAATTCTAATCATTGAGACCGTGTGCAATTGTTCATTGTGAAATACGAAGGATCCAAATCATGAATCGAGACAAAGATAAATCGGTATTTGTAGACACGATTGAAGGAACAACCAGAATCTGTCATTTCGTTAAACAGCAAAACTAGGTTTAGAAAGAACGAATATCAATTATATGTTGCATCAATCAAAAGTTTTCTTTTTCCTTTCTTTTTTTCATTTGGCACCAAGAACGCGGGGCCCAGAGAAAGAAAAGTTAAACAACAACACTACTGTTTCGTAAAAAATTAGAAGATCCAATTGAAAGATTTTGTCTGAATATTTGTTTTCTATGGAGATACATAATTAAATTTGTTTCTGTCGAGATGCTAAAAAACATATCATTTGCCTTGTACTGTTGGGATTAATTTTGAAAATATTTATTTAGTCTTAAAACAAATATACGAAGAATGGGGAGTTTAATAATAAATTAGGGGTGTCACTAGAATTTCCATCATTAACCCCAAACTGGTCGTACAACCTTATTGGGCCCATTTTTAAATGGATTATTATACAGTGGAAGGAAGGTCCAGGGACGATAATGGTAAGGTATCTATTGGGCCCACTATTTTCATATCCATTTAATAGTAATTTTCATCTCACACCCATTGGGTATCTATAATCATATTTACATATATTTTAATCAAACGTTATTTATGTATAAAGTTAATAAATTAATAAAACCCTATTAATTAAAATTTATTACAAAAATTCACTATTAAATGTAAAAATATAATCAATTTATTTTATGTTGTGTATAATAATAATGATATTAAAAATATGATTAAAAAAACTATTTATGATTACATATTTATTATATTTTTATAATTATTAATCTTATTAAAAATAATTATATATATAATAGTTTAAATATTTTAATAAATTGAAAATAATAATAATAATATATAATTAAATAATATTTATATAAAAATGATTCAACTTAAATATTTGTTAGAGTTTCATAGTATTATTAATTTATAACATCTATAATCATATATAATAGAAATTTTTGTAACAATTTTTTTTGTCATATTTTAATAAATTACTTATCTTATATATTCTCTATCCTTTATCATATAATTACACATTTTTCTCAAATTTTCTGGAATATAAATGAAATGAATAAAATTAATTAAAAATTATACTATTTTCTCTCTTAGTTCAACCACACATATCTTTCAATATTTTCTCTGGAATATAATTTAATAAAAAAAATAATAAAAAATATATTTTTTTCTTATTCTTGTAATTATAATTTTTTTTTTAATTTCTCTCCCTCTTGAAACCTCTTCCCATCTTTATTAATCTCCAATAATTCATAATTTTAGAGATAACTTAAAATGTAATAAATAAATAAATAAAATTTGATTAAAAATTATTTTAAATATAAAAAATGTGGACACAATTTTATGGGAAATTTTTATTATGTATTAAATGTAATAAAATAGGTTTTTCTAAGAAAGTAAAAGTGTAAGTAAGAGCGTGTGTGTGCGTGTGTGTGAAAATTAATAAAAATAAGAATTCCCAAGCCTATCATGTGATTAATAAAAAATTGTTCAATAAATTGACAAGACACATTTTATCATGTATTAAATGTAATAAAATGTAACAAATTTATGTTCAGGTAATAAAATTTGTTAATAAAAATAGACAAGTATATGTATTATTAATATAAAAAAATTAAAAATACACATTTTCCAAAAAATTATTAATAAAAAAACAGATATCCATCATCATTTTTTTCTCCATGCATTAAATATTTGTCTTGAGCTGAGAAATCTAAACAAAGCAAAAGGCATAAAGCATATTTATATAGTACCTTAACACATATTTTGTAATTATTGTTCTTACATAATATAATAATATGCTTGAAAATTTGTTATATATTTTTTTACATTGTTTTGTTATTCGACTGTTATGAGTTATGTACGGTTTATTCTTCAAGTAATTTTCGTTTGTATTCTAATTGCCATAATAAATTTACCCATTAATTTAGTTTATTAAATTATTCAGATGTAATAAGTAGTTTGGAAGAAAAAAATTACATTTAAGAGTTTGAAATGATTCGCTGTTAATTATTTCTTGCAACCTAAAATACTCTTATGAGCATATGCATGTTCACGTATTTAAAGATGAATTCCATGCTTTCAAGAGGATGAAATACGAATAAATATATTTGTAGTTATTGTATATATGATTAATTTAAGTTTTAATATATCTCAAAAATTTAACATTGTAGTTTTTATGATTTTTTTTAAATATAACCATAATTTCATTACTATATATGTAACATGCATCTAAACGTAATTAATATAAAGTAATAAGTAACATGATATACTTGAATGTAATCATCAACAAAGTTATGATATTAAAAATTCTGAAACATATTTTTCAATTTGATTATATTTAACAAGAATGTTAAGGTCATGGTTCCTAATTACAGAAAACTATCATAACACAAATCATTGTTTAGGTTAAAGTGAAGAATGTCACAGGAACCATATAAGTATATATATATATATATATATATATATATATATATATATATATATATAATATTTTTCTTCTTTTGGAACTGTTATATATTATATATCCATTTTTATATCAGTAAAACTATATGATATCATATTATCATGTAAAACCACATATATACCATGTCCACACCAATATACGTGTTCATCCAACATTTCAAGCAAATTCATGAATTTCTAAAGCTAAAGATTCAAAGTATCAGCATATCCTACAAAAAGTAATATATGATGATCATCACCTGAAGTTTGAGATGCATAATGCTGTCCATTTGTGGAGCTGTTTATGTAAGTCAGTGGCATAACCCTCAAAAAGATTCATTTCATAACCTTTTTCTTTTTATTAGTCTTTCGTTTTTTCGCTGTTTATACCCTATTAATCTTTGTTTAAAGCATTAATTTCAGATGTTAGAGTGGTAATTAGTAAGCTAAGACAGAAATGAAACTGAATTCTGCTCAAAAGGCAGTTTTAACTTATAGTTATATATCTCTATATACACACTTGTTTAACCTAATAATACTTTATGCTTGATAAAATTTCCTTTAACATCTAAATTCAAAATCAAAAGCATCAGATAACAATTTACAAGCTATTATATATGTCACCCAACTCTTCTAGTAAGAGTGATAATGGGTGAAAACTGAACCCTAGATTAATTTTATAATATCTTTGAAATCTCAATGGATAAGAGAGATTCTAGTGCTAAAGTAACCTCATAATAAACTCCACGTTCAATTCCAGACACAAGGTAAAATTTGATCTAGCAAAGACAGAAACTGAATCTATTTTATTGCAGAAAAAATAGTTTGAAGGGAAAAGAAATGAAATTTCTGAGTTGCATAAATTTTCTTTCTTTTTCCTCTTTCACAAACAAATCAATAGAGTCCAATCAAAATGAGAAAATGGGACAGTTTCCATGAGTTCATTCAAACAAGTCTATATAAAGTTAGAAAGGTCTAAAGAGACATTATATGGTACTGTGAGAAATTTAAGGTTTTAGTTCTGATATTTATTTATTTTTGACAAATAGTTGAATGAATTTCTATTTAAAAGGTTTCTCTTTTTCTTTGACATGTTCAAACCCATTCAACTATTAACTCAAAAATAACTACTAAAACTCTTGGGATTTTTCTAGGTACCATTGTAGTTCCCAATCTAAAATTGATGTTATGGTAAAATTTCCTGTTATTGGAGAGATTGTGAACCTAGGTAGCTCAACCATAAAGTTTATCAGAACATCTAAATGCTGGAAATGCTTTGGAAACTTTATTTCTCAGCTGATATAGATCTACAGTGTAGGAATTGTTAACCTGCGAATCATTGTCAATACGGAAAATACATAAATATTAGAGTAAATTTATAGAGTAAAATTAAAACGAAACCCTGAACCTTCTTACCTCACACTGCACACTGTGGAGCAATCTACCGTTGACTTCTGATGAAAGGTAACTAACAACTTCAAGACCTTCTTGAGTCAGGAATTGTAGTAACTTTGAAACTTTAGGCTTTTCCTCTCTCAAGCCACCGGTGATTTCAATTCCTATAACACCATTATTCTCGTGGACAGTGAAGCTGCAAGATGTATGCAAGTCCTCGTGGCTATTTTCGAAATTGCGGTTATTGAATTTCTTCAGTTCATCTCTCTTGGCACCAAGCTCTTTGATATTGTTCTGCATGTGCTTTATGTAATTCACTGCCTCGTTCATGTGGTCAGATATTGAACGCTTTCCCTGAAAATATCACAATAAAACCCTAAGCAACCAAGAAAACTCACCAAACCAAAAATGTAAAAGAGGGTAATTCAGAAACAACAGTTATTGTGTGAATTATATAAATAAAGAGGGTTCTACATTTAGATTCTCATCATAAAGAGCATGGTTACAAGCAATTAATTAGCTCATGGCGTGGCCTGGTTTTCAAAAGGGTATCCTCTAAAATTGAAATAAATAAGTGATTTGAATCAAGGAGTTCTAGCCAGTGTATAGAGAAAAAGAAAAACAAAACAAAGGAACATATGTTTTTCACCTTGATGAACTCAAGAGGGAGAAGGGATCTAAGAGAGGCATAGCAGGTAGCCATTTCTTGTCTCCTTTGCCTTTCAATCTCCTTGTGAATCATCTTCTTCTTATGTTCGTTAGAGTCATGATTCTTTTTATTTGCCTCATAGAAAAGATTCTTTGGTTGGCTTCTGGGGAAATTTTTGTCAGAAACATTGACATCCAGAGAAGCATAATCATCCAGAATCAGATCTTGGGAGATCTTGTGTTGCTGCTGGTGGGGGCTATTAGAAAACTCAATAACCAGCTCATTGCCTCGTTGTAAAGGAAACATGGTACGCTCTGAACTCAATGAGTGCTCTAAACTATCCTTAATTTTGGACATGGGGGCTGAAGGAGCAGATACATTTCATTTGGGCTAATAAATAACCTATTTCAAGAAAGCTTCCCACATCTCACATGCCAAAGATTCCTCCATACATTCTCATTCTCAGTAAAATCTTAATCACTTTTCTTTTGAATTTTTTTTTGTTAAAACACACACTCTTTATTTCTAGAAAAGTAGTTTCTATATTGTCCCAAACGATGAAAATTACTTGTATATAAAACTTATAAATTTAATTCTGTGAAAACGTGTTAAAAGAAAGAAAAATTCACCATTACGGGCCCTTGAAAACGAATGATATTATTTAACAATACGGTCTCGCAACATATTTTATAACAAGGAAAGAGATAGGAAAAAAGTATTACAAAAAGATCAATGTGGTAGAAAAAGATAGAAGAAAAAAAAATTCTAAAAAAAAGGTAGTATTACTTTTTTAAAATTAAAATCAGATTGATGCAATAATAAGATTGATAAAAATAATAATATCATATATTAAATAAAATAAAAGGGTTGATGTACGTAAGAAGTGACCTCACTTGAAGTTTAATATCATAATTTTTAAAGACACTGTTCATAAATGCGACTCCAACCCCTCCCATTAACGTTCACATCATTTAGATTTGAAATTTTAAGTGATCAAAGAGTTGAGTTAGTGAAAGGGAAAACTTTCATACAATAATATGACAAACTAATGATTTTTTTTCTTCTTTATAAGAAGTGGTTAATTATGATTATTGTTTTAGAGTGTTTGAAACGTATTTTATTTCCAAAGAAGTATGTATTGCGAGGGAAAAAATAAAATAAAATAAAGAAGTATGCAACCTTATTTATTTTCTTTTTTTGTCACTATAAAGTTATATATAGACCTATATTGATTTCAAATCTTCTAACACTGTTTTTCTACTAATATCCATACTTTAAAATAAAAACAAAAAAGTACTGAAAATAGTTTTTATTTCTAACATATATTATTTAATTATTATGTAATAGTTTCTTATAAAGTAAAGATTATATTGATAATGCAAAAGGAATTAATAATATTTTTTTATTAAAAATCACATTGTTGATCTATTGAAAATCACGATACAAGGGTAAATCAGTAATATGTTTTCTTTAAAATATAGAATAGATTACATTGATATTTTCTAATTATTAAAAAAAAAACTCTTTCTACACGAAAAAAATAGTTTAATCTCACAATATGACTCAATAGTTCATGGTATATTCATAAGTTGGACATCATTTATGAATCAAAGACAATGATAGTTTATATATATATATATATATATATATATATATATATATATATATATATATATATATATATATATATATCTCTCTTAACTCATCTTTTAAGGAGAAAACTCTAATAGACAAGAACTACAAAGCGAACTATATCTCGGATGTGGAAATTTAATGTTATCATAATTTAAATAAGACCGGAACATTATTGTACGGAATATTGACGCACACCCCTTAGTCCTTGACAAGGGGAATTATGTTCCTATACACTCCACTCCTAAGTCTAAAAGTCGAGACTAATGATAATTTATATACATTTTTTTTAACCCACCAATATATCTTTTAAGAGTAAGATTATGATAGATGAAATTTTACCTTACCACATATTATCATAACTGACATCAAAACGTGATACTTTCATCTATACATATAATTTCCTTTCTAAGAAAATAGTCACTAGTACCCTCTCTTACATTCATATAAGCTAGATTCATGGAAAATCATATGGTTTTTCTCAGTTTGAATACAGAAGAAAACAGAGTGTTTTCTGTAATATTTTTTTTTTCAACCCTCTTCATCATATGATATGACTTGTTTTATTGCACATATTTCTTCGCTTTTTATCTTATGTCTTCCTCTTTCATTCAAAATATTATCCCACTGACATTGTTTTGTCATATTTTATATCTCGCTTCTAAATATAACTTTATCTTTTTCTCTCTTTCAAACTTTTGACCTGAATATACCACACAAAACACAATGCTGTATGGGCGATATAAAAACGCCACAAAGAGATGTATTCATATGATCATTGCTGAAAGGAACCTTTAGTGGTTACGTGAACAAATAAAAAATAAAATGAAGTCACTCCAAGAATATATGAGAGAATGCATGCACATGTGTGTGCATTGTTTATTTAGTAAGATAAGCAGCTTATAACTACTTCTGATCTTCCCTCATTACACAATCATGGGAATATTACTAAATTATAATTAGTAGTTGCTCTAGAAAATAAAATATAAATAAATTTTTATATCTTAGAGCTTTATTTAATCATTACATTAAATTACTTATTTTTATTGTTATAAATTTATTAAATTCAATTTTCAACTTTTATCACATTTTTTATGATTATTTATGTTATGTGTTTTTTTTAAATTAAAAAAATCAAAATTTAATCTTAAAAGAGGTAGATACCTTATATACATATACAATAATTCTGTTTAACTCACAAAGACATGTTAACCATGGCTTTCCTTTGTTCTAATAACACAATATTCCATTGCCTTTTATCACGGACAGTGTCCTACATTAAATAACAATCAAGAATAATAAGAGGATCCTTATCCAAGGCCCTCAAAGATATCTCAAACTCTAACAACACTTGATTTATTATTTATTAATGGCATCCTAAAATAATAAATAATAAAATACTATATAATAAAGAAGCAAGCCTTCATGAGAACAGGCCAATAAAAATCGTCTTTCCAGCGAAGCAATATGAACCACCCTTCAAAAACCAAAAAGTATTGTTCTTCTTTGAAGGTTCACTCAAAACCCACTTCTTATCCATAGGAAAACCCAGAGGAATGTGATTTAGACATGTCAGAAGAAGGAGACAAGGTCAAATGTAGTCAATGCTTTTTGGGTAATGTTTATGGGGATTTTGCTGTGTAAGTAGTTGGCACACCATCATTAAACAGAAGGGTGATTAGGTATTTAGAGTGCCAACCACAGTTAACATACGACCAAATTCGGAAATCAGTCTAATAGAAAATTAATTTAAAAATTAATATATTATTTTTATTTTAATACAAAATCGGTTAAATTTTTAGATTTTACTAGTTTTAGAAAAAAATTATTTTTTTAATATAATTATTTTATAAAAGATATAATATATTTTAATTTCTTTTATTTATGTTATATTAATTAGATTAATTATAAATGATAATTAATTTATTATATTTTTATTTTATTTTAACACTTATCTATTTTATATTTTTTAATATATTTTATATTGATGATTTTTATTATAATTTATTATAATTATGATAATAATCTTTATTTTTTTAAATATTATTATTAATAAATTTAATATATAATTTTTATATTATAAATTATTATTTTATTAAATCGTTCAATCCCAATTAAATCTTTAAATTTTAAATTTATTTCTGTGCTCATTTAGTATTTTATAGAGAAAATATTATTAATGTATTTTTTTATATCTTTATTTACTTTTAACGGCACAAACATCTCAAAATATTGAGTAACATATTTAAGATAGGATTGAATATAATTGAGTTAGTTTCAACTCAATTAGACTTGATATAAAATTACATGACATGTTTTAGCTTGAATTTGACTCCATTGAAGTTTTTGAACAGGTCAGTTTAAATCGTTACCTCGATGTGATTTAAAATTTTGTTTATGTAAAATAAAGTTTAACTAAAGCTGTAATTATATATATATATATATATATATATATATATATATATATATATATATATATATATATATATATATCAGTTAAACAAGAGGATAGCCAGAATTAAAGGGCATTGTTATGGTGGACATGGGTGTGCTAGCTAGAAACCCTAGAATCCTAACCTAATATTAATGCATGGCAGCAAGAAATTATAATTTTTTCCTGACTTGTGGTGACTGAATATAGTTTTTTAAGCTGAGTAAATCCCCTGTGATCTCTCATCAATTAAACAATTGATTAAGTCGTCACGATAATCAAAATGCAAAGGTTTTGTTGATGTGTTTTGCTTAATGGGGCAGACTTCTTCAAACTCAATATATGTTTATAATATTCATACACCTTTTCCCAGTGAAGACGATGATGAGAAAGAAAACATGGAAAATGATTGTGCCCAAGATTAAGTTATTCAGTGAGTCAATCACATGACCTCAACCTAATAAAATAAGGGATGACAAGAACCATAGGAAGAACAAAAAAGAAAAGATAAAAAGAAGGTGATAAAGTGATGTGATGAGAATAAAAAACAAATGAGTTGGAGGAGAAAATAAATATTATTCTTCCTATTTTTATTCAAGACGCAAATTACTTTTATTTATATATTGTTTATTCCCATGTTTGTAATGCATGCTTTTAAAAATTGATTCTTGATGTGAAACGTGAACAGGACCACAATGTTACTTTTGATTAACACCTTATTGGAGAAACCTATTAACATGTTCTTATTTATTATATTTTGTTTTGTCTTTGTGTCTTTCATGAATGGAAAACCAACATGTTGAGTTTCTACTTCACAATGCTATAAATTATAAACTAACTCTTGCGTGCTTCACTTATGAAAATGAAACTAATGTAAGAAATTAAATAGGAATCTCTCTAATTATTGGAGTTACTAATTAATCACATTTCAATCGTGCGGTGGCATCTTCTATTTTATTTTAAGTTGCAAGTTATCGAGTAACATCCCAAAATGTACGACATATATTAGAATTGTACTTCAAATTCATTTTAACTAAAAAAATAAAATAAAATTAGAAAATTCCATGTTTAAGATGAAGACAATGGCGAAACTTCCTACCCATTTATAATAATATATAAATTTCCTACCACAAGAAGAAACTTAATTCTATTGGAACCCAAGAGATATAATTATGTGAGGGACTTGTAAGTGAGATGAAAATAAAAATATTGATCAAATATCAAAGAAGAGATTTTTTTCTGA